CCAAGGAAGAGGACCTGGGATAGGGACACCTCCTCCCTCGTGCAGCTGCTTGCTCTTCTGCAGGGCTGGTTTTCTTTTAAGATTAAATTTAAAAATTCTCTGAAAATACAGTTCAAATTGCAAACTCTCAGTCTTAATTTGTGATCTCAACTTGGCAATCCTTATAATTATTGGAAACAGGAAATTCTCATGGGGGAAAAAATCAGGTACTTGGTTCTTGGTGACAAAATGCAAAATCTCTCTCCCCAACCTCTCAGCAGCAGTACTGTGGTTGGGATGATGAAACATCTGCAGTAACGTGGACATCTCTGTGTGTGCCAGGAGTGTTAGAACATTCCTGACAGAAGGCGTGCTTATACCAGATACAGAGGGCTCTGGGTTTGCCCATGAGAAGTTTGTAACAGAGGAGGAACGAGTACTGTTTTTAGTTTGTCAAGGCTGCCATAAAAAAGTACCACAGACTGTGTGGTTTAAACAATAAAAGGTCTGAAGGGTAGAAGTCCAGGATCAAGGTGTTGGTAAGATTGGTTTCTTCCGAGGCTTCTCTTTGATTTGTAGCGACCATCATTTCCCTGTGTCTTCACATGGCCTTTCCTTTGTACATGTCTGTGTCCAAATTGCCTCTTCTTATAGGACACCTGTCATACTGGATTAGGGCCCACACTAATGACCTCATTTTAACTTAATTACCTCTTTAAAGGGCCTCTCTCCAAATACAGTCAGATTCTGAAATACTGTAGATGAAAATTTCAACACATGAATTTGGGGGTGGGTGGGCACCTTTTACAGGTGCCAAGTTTGTCAAAGGTAAAAGCTATCTACTCAGAGACGTTTTATCTTCTAAAAGGCCAGGAGAAAAGTCTTCCTTTCATCACTGCATTAATTAACTTCTTACTTTAATATCCCATTTTGAAATAACCTCTATTTTCCACTCGTGCCCCACCAACAAGCATTTATGTCATTCTGCCTTGTGTTATGGTTAACTGTGTCTCTCCAATTAGCCTGTGCGATCCTGGAGAGCAGGCAGGACTGTCCTTTAGTCACTTCTATATGCCTCCACCACAGGGCTTCCTGAGAAGGATACACACAGCCAGCATTCAATACAATTCACTCACCAACACTGATGCTTGCTCTGTGGCAGGTCCTGTCTTAGCCACTGGGTCTTATGTTGATTTAAGTGAGGTGACTATTCTCTATGTGACTAAAGAATGAAACCTGTGAAACCATGCCCCATAGGGTTAACAGAAATCCTTGACTTACAGAACAGCAGATAAGGGAACCGCTTGTTAAAAACCCCTCTGTTTGTAACCTGCCTTTACTGATTAAGCTTGCTTATTTTTTTTTCCTTCTTTAATTGCATACCCTCCAAGCTTCACGTAGCTAGGTAATATATCACAAGACTTCTTAACCACCCTTATAGATAATGCCTCTGGGTCACTAGAGTACCAGGCACTTAAGCTGTTTTCCAGAAACCTGGAGTCAACTCCTGTCTAGTCAAGCTGACAAAAGCTGGATGGGACCACTGAGCCTAAAACTGGGCCGGCACAGTTGTCTGATGAATGACCTTTTGATGTCAGAGGGCCAAAAACTCTACCCTCAGACCATGCTAAGAGCCTCCATTCCTGAACACGCAGCCCGTGAAGAAGCATGTAACCCAATGTTCCTGCTCAGAACGCCTATCACCTCACCTTTTCCCCACCTCCAATCACCTTTCCCCATGCCTAAGACCACCCTGCTTCTTTATCCCATAAATATCTCAAGCCTTTTGCCTTCAGGGAGGTGGATCTGAGATTTCTCCTGTCTCCTTGCTTGGCTGCCTTGTGGATGAACTCTCTGCTACAAACCTCAGCATCTCAGCGTACGGCTTGCTGCGTGTTGGGCAAAGGAGCCTGGTTCGGTAACACCTGTAACAGACTAGGAAGGCCCATGCCCAGACCTGTGTTTTTCAAATCCCACTCCAGCAGCTGTATGGTGGAGGGGCTTGGAGGGAGGTTGATGAGGGGCTGCCAGGGGAATCCAGTCGAGAGGCAGGGCCGTGTGCTGCAGTGCAAGTCAGCATACCCAACTTTAATGTCTGTCCTGAACTTCACTCATTTTGCTGCACTGGGCAAATTACCTCATTTTTCTGAACCTTAGTTTTAGACAGTTTTACATGCAGACTTAATGGAATTCCTTTATATTTTGGATACAAAGGCTTCTGAAGTTGAAGGTTTGTGGCCCCTGGCCTTGCAGGGGGGGCCTCTCCCGTTATCCTGTCGCCCCATACCCTCATCAGAACTGACTCCACGCAGTGAGGTGACTCTCCCAGAGCCTAAAATGGACCAGGTCAGTGACAGTAGATGTGTCAGGCTGACCACACAGGCAGGAGGGCAGAGGCCACCGGTGGCTTTGCTCACTCAGCTGGATTCCAGGATGTCTCAATGTCCACACTGAGATAGAAGGAACTATTGAAAAGTGCCTATTCACCAAGACAAAGACTGCGTCTTGCTGAACATTTGTACTTTTATGCTGCATTAAAGGAAGAGTTTTCTTCTCAGCCCTTCTCCTGGGCCTTATTACATAATACACATCTTTCTCTGTTATTCTCCCTTCTAACCTAACAGACTTGTCTTTCTTTCTTTCTTTCTTTTTTTTTTTCCTGTGGATGTGGCATATTTCCTCTGCGATTCTCTTTTGTATTTTGTCCTTGGACAACTCTGGAAGGAGAGGAGGACTTTGCCTACTTTCTAACTATTTGATACAAGAGCACAGGCTGAGTTTAAATATGGCTGTTAAGAGGCTGCCAAGAATCTAAACTTCATCCACAAAGTTATATATCCCCTTCCTGGAAAAAAAAAATCCACTCTGGGGGGAGGTAGGAGTAGGGGTTGGTATTGGTACATATATCTCAGTTGTACCATAAAACACTGAGGGATGTTTGATGTTTACACACACCCCTCCCTTAGCTTGAGGTGGATTTTATTTTCAGTGCTGAGTACTTCCAGCATGTAAATAAGACACTTCCTTTCCTGCATTTGAACCGTTTCTTCAAAGGCAAAACCACTCTCACTTTGAACAAATAGTGAGAAACATGGCACATAGAGCTCTCTTAAACACAGAGTGATGGCTTGCATGGCTTTTACTGATATGAAAGTGGCTTTGACAAATCTCATTTGTCTGTACTGCCCTTGGGGCTGAGGGAAGACAGTTCTGAGGCAGAGGCTAACTTCTGGGTGATAAAATAGTAGAAGATGTGACTTTGAAAACTATGGTAAGTTGTATAAAAATCTAGGAAAATGCATATACCACCCCACTTCTCAGCAAAAGCAATTTACGTCAATTGAATGGTAAATGCGTTTCTCAGTGCTTCCATGTAAAAGATCTCTACACACTAAAAACTAATTACTCAGATATTCTTAGAAGTGTCAAGCAATCTTATAACACGCGCACATACCACTTTTTGTGTACGTTTCTACACACATTTAAAAAGATAGTTATAGATACCTTGAGCCCTCAGGTGGTCAGCACTGGATTAATGACAATCACGGATTCTTGACATTCATTAGTGGTTCATGCAGGATTAGCAAGCTTTTATTAATGCAATAACCACCTGCAAACCGAGCACCCAAAGCCATAGCTAAGACTTTGACACAATCCGTCCATCTATCAAACCAGGTGGCTAAACTTCCATCTCATCCCTTGCCTCTTATGCACTGGATGCAACCATCATAACTGCAGGGTGGGTGATGCAGTTTGAATCCTGTGTTCATCACTCTCTTGCTTTCTTTTTCATGGGATGTTATTGCTTTTATTTGTACTTCTATAAAACATATTTCTATCTTATCTGTGTTTAAAGTATTTTGAGACTTACTTTTGGCACTTAATGTTTCAGTGTTGCTGCAGTTCAACTGTTTTGACTGCCATGTGAGTATACCACAGTTTATTTTCCACTCTCCCTTTGATGGGCGTTTGGGTTGTTTCCCAGTTTTGCTATTGTGAGCAGTGCAGCTATGAGCATTCTTATACATGTTCCTTCTTGTACATATGCAAGGATGGAATTGCTGGAGCAAAGGCTATACGAGATGTTCAACTTCAAGAGAGAATGACACTGTTTGATATTTTATATAATCATCCCATGCACATATTATGCATGTGGATGGTTCATATTGCTTAAATTGATACTTGCTGCCCTTGAATGATAAGAGCACTATTATCTATTTGGTATTTTAGTCAGAAAAAGGTAAAAGAGAAACAATTACAAACAGTAATTAAAAGAGAAACAATTTTTTCCACAAGCCTCACATTATCGAAGTATAAACAAAATGGAATGTCTTAGATCACGCCAAATCTAGAACAACTACAAATGATAAACTCAGACAAACCGAAGCAATACCACTGCAGTACAAATTATACCTTACACGGAACAGTTTTATCTAATGTCCAGGGGAATGTTAACTTCTAAACAGTACAAAATCCTGGGGAAAGTCCATATTTTAGACCTTGATAGAATGATAGAAGACCATCCTGGTAGACCTTGATGTATACCAGAACTCCCTACTTCCTTCTAAATGCAAAGCTGTGGAGATCTGTATATTTTTCTTACCTGCAAATAAGGGGACTTTCTGGGTGCAAAGCCCTCCCACATACTTTCTCGCTAACTGAGAGAGGTACAGATACCTTTAACAAGCCAAACAATGGTGCAATTAGCCGCCTGTCAATAATCATCAGCAAATGCTATTACCTGAGATTTTTACTGTGCTTTACCAGATGCTATCATCCTCTGAACTGTTTGGTGTTTTGAATGAACAACTACTCTTCTTGTTCAGAAATTGCTTGACTTATGTCTGGAACAAAACACATCCCTTTGCATTTTTAAAAATGACCATTTTTCTTTTTGGGTGGAAAACCACCAGAGTTGAAACAAATTGGCTACTTCGAGTTATAATTCCATGTGAAGCTACATGTGATGAAGACAATGTTTTCTGGCCTGAAGATTAAAAAAATGTTGAAAAATAACTTACCTTCACGTAGAGCTGCTGAAATTCCTCGAGATTCAGCCTCCCGCTTGGACAGTCCTTGAGAAATCCTTTGTACCACTGCTTGAGTTCATGCTCATTAAACTCTGTGCTCTTCACCAGGTCCTCCATCACTTCGGGGGCCAGTTTGCTATTCTGTTTCCCCATTCTGCCTGATGAAAAGCAAATTAATGCAATTAGCACTGTGGCTGTGATCATTTCAAGCTTGATTAAGAACCAAGCTAGAGTTCTGAGCAGTCCCTTGTGGTTAGAAGTCCCTCCAGTGTGTCTGATCAAAGTCTCCCCAAGTCTGTTTCCTTCTATTTGATATTCTAGAAAAGAGATGACCAGAAAAGGCTTCTCAAAAGGCTGTAGAGTTCATCCTCCTCCATCATGTGTCATCTTTTACACAGCACTGACTCCCACATGGAAAGCCAACATCCCTTTTTATGCTATTCATGTAAAGTACATGGAAAATGTTTGTATTCTCATTTTACGAATTATGATTCATTAGCACTTACTGCACAGGTGCCTAATTCTATATGTAGTTTGCAGGGATATTAAGTGGGATTATTGACAAGAACAGTAAGAAGGACTTATAGCCAAATGATCGAAAAGTGGCTTTGGAAATCTGATCAGCAATGGTAGAGAATGCGTTGTTCTATTTCCAAAGTTTCTGCTGTTTTTTTCTTTTTCAAATGCCAACAGATCATTTTTACTAGTCTCATTAATTCTCTATCTCTCCTCTCATCTTCAGAAACTTCCTACAACATTGCCTTCAGTGTTGACAACTTCTGGGTGGCTTTTTTTAAAAGGTTGGTTAGTGAATTTCAGTTGACATAATTCCATTCTATTCTTATTACTGCCAGTAAGTCAAAATAATAGTGCATAAAATAAAATATAAAATACATTGATTATATGCCAGGTTGTGGGGCCAACATCACAGTCAAGTGTAGGTGGACAGAGCATAGGTTTAGAGTTATCGCTGATTTGGCCATTGACCTTATGTGTTGCTTACAGCAATATTAATTAACTGCTTTAGCGTCAATTTCTTTCTCGATAAAGCACACATAAAAAAAAAACTCTTTCAGATCTACTGTGATGGCTAATTAAGAAATACGTAGTAAACAAAGACCAAAATAACTCCAAAATTAAAACAGTTTTATTACTGCAGGAAAATTATAGATGATTTTTTAAAATTTCCCTTTAATGTTGTTGTTTTGTGACAAAAAAGAATTAAAACAAATTAACCACAGAGTAATTTAAAAAGTCAGTTAGTGGGCTTCCCTGGTGGCGCGGTGGTTGGGAGTCCGCCTGCCGATGCAGGGGATACGGGTTCGTGCCCCGGTCTGGGAGGATCCCACATGCCGTGGAGCGGCTGGGCCCGTGAGCCATGGCCGCTGGGCCTGCTCGTCCGGAGCCTGTGCTCCGCG